TAAGGCTTAAAATCTCTCTTTACCTTTGACTTTAAAACTTTTTCCTGGAAAGTCGCCATTATCCACATTCCTGGCCCCTGGCTTGGGGTTGGCTAGGCCGTCGCTGGCCCCTGGCTTGGGGTTGGCTAGGCCGTCGCTGGCCCCTGGCCTGAGCTTGGGGCTGTCTAGGCCGTCGCTGGCACCTGGCCTAAGCCTGGGGCTGTCTAGGCCGTCGCTGGCGCCTGGCCTAAGCCTGGGGCTGTCTAGGCCGTCGCTGGCCCCTGGCCTTAGCCTGGGGCTGTCTAGGCCGTCGCTGGGCCCTGGCCTAAGCCTGGGGCTGTGTACCAAGAGACACTAGCTAAAGCGATGCACGACACGCCTCACCTCACCGTCATCCAATGCCCCATGTTGCACGTAAAGGAGCCTTCAAAGATACCATCTCCCAGGATTTTGCAACAAACTGGAAAACGTTATGCTCACCTTTGCACTATGGGTCCATTAAAAAGAAATGGGAAACTTGGAAACATGTCCGATATAAAAGCAGAGAAATTGATGTAACGATGACCAGATTAAGGCTGGGACACACCAAACTAGCAGCACACAGCTCTAAGTACAGAACAGACATCAACGAACTCTGTACTCACTGTCAGGTGCCTGAAACAGTCGAACACTATCTCCTGCACTGCTTCCGACATTATAGTGCCAGAGTAAATTTCAAACAAGTCTTTATCGCACTTAAAATACCCTTCACCATCGAGCATATATTAGGAGGCGGTGACCACTCGTCACAAGAAAAATACCAAATAGTCAAAGCACTGGCTAAATATCTCCAATCGACCAACAAATTGGGTCACATCTGACCCGCGCCACATTTATACCTGGCGCCACCAACAGCTAAACACAGACAACAACTGCCTCGTCGCAACACCATGGATCAGCTGACGCCATAAACACAACACACCGTCCTACGGTGCGGCAAGTCTCCCTCTAACACACACCTCTGTTCTAATCACCGTTCCTCTATCTACAGCACAAAGCAACAAGCACCTTGGTAGCTCCGATCATCCTCAACATAAACGCGTCCACCAACATCAGTACTGGTGCAGTCACCGGGAGGACAAACCCTTCATGCAAACTGCACCTACTATCAACAAGAAGAAGAAGAAGAAGACTAATTACCCAACGCTCAAGGTGAAGATAATCACTAATACAACATGTTAACTCAAACCTTAATATATATAAACTCTTTAGAAAGTACAGACACATTGAGACTTCAACCATCACCCAAACATGGTAGTACTTATGCCAACTGTTGGTTAAACGTATTAAAAAAGTACTGTTGAACTCCCCCCCCCCCCCCCACAAATGTTCACTTTTGTGCTATTGGAATACTCCAAATACTAAAAAGTGGAACTAACTTAACCTGCCCTAGGTGTAAATAAACAGAGTTAGGTATAATATATGATATCTTAGTATATTTATATATGTGCTATAATTGGCCTACTAAGGTTTAAGTGTGGTTGTTGCTCTCTTTCTTGTGATATCCTTTGTCTGTATTATGTTATCTACAAAGCTCTACTCTCATTGGACGATAGCAGCGAAATATGTTGATTATTTTCTGTCAATCCTATTATGATAGCAGCAAATATGTTGATTATTTTATGTCAATCCTATTATGATAGCAGCAATCCGTCCTCAAAGGGGTATGTAGTTGCAACCCATCCTCCGAATTGACAGTACAGTTTAATACTAAGTAATAAGTACAATTCCTGACTGTTAGGAATAGTACATAATTACACTTTCTTGTACCTTTACATCCCTATATATTTTCCTCGTTTTCTGTTAAATTACTCACAATTTTAGGACCAAGATTTCATGCTCAATTCTATATATACAAGTTTTAAATATGAAGAATTTCTTTTTCTGATTTATTAAACAATAAAGATTTTATACAAAATTTTATAATTTCCTGAGTTACTTTACAATTTATTGAAAGATTTTTGTTTTGTTTTATTAGTTTTATAAAACTGTAAGATCAATATAGCTATAGGTTACATACTAATTGTAAATAAGAAGCAATCAAATGCTTGTTCTTATACAGTAAGAAGGTTAGGTTAGGTCGTTTTCTATTCAGCTTTTCATGTAAACTCAAATATTCTGACGATTATTTGACAGTACGGTTTAATATTAAGTGAAAATAAGTCAACCTGTTCTCGCACTTTCTTACAGTCAATATTGACTTATTACATACGTGCATATGTGATATACTAAACATACTAGTTTACCTTGAAAAGCTTCATAGAAAACACCGACCTTACCTAACCTTCTTAGTATGTTAAGATAAGCATCTTATTGCTTCTTAATTACAGTTATTACTTAACCTATACCTATAATTGGTTAAGTAATAATTGTAATTACGAAGCAATAAGATCTTATCATAACATACTAAGAAGGTTAGGTAAGGTCGGTGTTTTCTATGAAGCTTTTCAAGGTAAACTAAAATATTCACAATAAATTAGTATGTCACATATGCACTTATTTAATAAGTCAATATTGACTTAAAGAAAGTGCAAGAACGGGTTGAAATAAGTACAGTTCATGACTGCTAGAAATAGTACATAATTACACTTACTTGTGCCTTTACATTTACCCCCCCCCCATATTCGGAGGATGGGTTGGTATGCACCACACAGTGTCTATTTTTGCACTATATTAACAGTAACACAATGCACTATGCAATTAGTGCTTTAATGTACTTCCTGTCCTTTGTTAGGTTAAGTTAGATTAGGCTAGGTATATTGCCACTGTATAGCATACTTAAACATGTGAAATTCTGACCTGCTTGAGTATCCCAAGAAATTTAACATAAAGGAAAACGTTGGCCATCGGCATTATCAAAGAAAACTTGTCTACCAAGAGCTTAGTTAATTATAAAGTTTGGGTTTAAAATAGTATACGGCTATAACTTGAGAATAATCGCTGTTTAAGACAAAGGTTTACTAGCCAGTTGACCAACGGACTATTAATGGAACCTTAATAGGCCTCCAGAACATCACAAATATATAAATTTATATGGTTTAAACAGGGAGGAGGAACACTCGCCAGAATCACTAGACAAAGTCTAGAAATGAATTTACTAAACAGTAGTAAAATGCACTGTGTGTGTGTGTGTGTACATAATGACCTAACTAACCTGTTGACGGACTAGATAATGTTTAGCGAAGTGCTTCGAGCAATAGCAGGATAATTGATCTTTGGTAACATGTCCATAAAATAAAAAGCTTGAGAATATGCAAATTGGTTGTGAAAAATACAACCCGTTCTCGCACTTTCGTATAGTCAATATTGACTTATTAAATACGTGCATATGTGACATACTAACTGATTGTGAATATTTTAGTTTACCTTGAAAAGCTTCATAGAAAACACCGACCTTACCTAACCTTCTTAGTATGTTAAGATAAGCATCTTATTGCTTCGTAATTACAATTATTACTTAACCTATTATAGGTATAGTTAAGTAATAATTGTAATTACGAAGCAATAAGATGCTTGTCTTAACATACTAAGAAGGTTAGGTAAGGTCGGTGTTTTCTATGAAGCTTTTCAAGGTAAACTAAAATATTGACAATAAATTAGTATGTCACATATGCACTTATTTAATAAGTCAATATTGACTAAGAAAGTGCGAGAACGGGTTGGAAAAACATGCTTAGGCCCATAGAGCAAAGAGTGCCTAAGAAAACGGGATTTTTTGGCCGTTTTCTAAAAAAATCGTGAAATGATCAACAAATTATTAAAACATTGAGCGTGTTGGATGTTGGTGATATCAACTCATCCTCCTGTTTAGATAGCACCTATTGTGACGACCGTCAATAGTCACGAATATAGAGTTCCGTGAAACTTTGTCTGGGATGCTCCCGGACGCAGGTTCGAATCCTCGTCGCTGCCCTTGTGGATTTGTTCAAACTTTGCAACTTGCATAGATGGTAACGCAATATGACCTAACTGTTCCACTCTGCTCAAAGATTGATCGAGCTAATTATGCACCAGCCTGTTCTTTTGATCTGCCTCTACGTCAAAAACCCAACCTCCCAACCAAACCAGAAACGTACAAACCCAAGCAAGTCCCCCCTAATCTACTGAGAGCGATGCATAGAAAACGTAGATATTTATGGGAAGTTACTCCTCATAGTAGGCTCTATTTGTAACGTTCATTGCCATTACTTAAATAAATGCGACCTATTAGTTGAGAGAACGGGATTGCCATAATCCTTATGGCATCTAGTACAAGGCTGCCCACCCTAGATGCCATCTAGTTCAAGACTGCCCACCAGAGGATATTAATAGGGTATTGGGGATATTAATAGGGTATTAAAAGTATCAACACAAGACAGAACACGAAACAATGGGTATAAATTGGATAAGTTTAGATTTGGGAAAGACTTGGGTAAATACTGGTTCGGTGACAGGGTTGTTGATTTGTGGAACCAATTACCGCGTAACGTGCTGGAGGTGGGGTCCCTCGATTGTTTCAAGCGCGGGTTGGACAAGTATATGAGTGGGATTGGGTGGTTATAAATAGGAGCTGCCTCGTATGGGCCAATAGGCCTTCTGCAGTTACCTTTGTTCTTATGTTCTTATGTTCAGAGTGGCTGCCACACTGATACACAAATAACCTTCAAATTTAAGGGTAGACTCATCTAACTCGCTATTATCCATTGTGTCCATTAATGGTCACATGGTTGGACAGGACTTATCCCTGAATGATGCTACTCAGACGAGGGGTCACAGTAACCTAACTGAAGACATGACTATTAAACCAAACACCAGAATCGACTTGATAACAGTTCAGAACGGACTGAATCGTCGACATCTCTTCATCTTGTAATCTGCTGAGTGGTTCAGTCTCCATGCTGATACTGTTCCCTTCTTCTAGATGCTGATATCAGAGCCTGTTGTGCGTGTGTGTAACTTTATTCGTGTGTTGGTTTCCGATATTCGGTGACTCGAACGCGGTCATGCTTAGCGAGATTTACCTAGGGTAAATACTGGCCTTCTCCAAGATGCAAATCCACAACAGGTGTGTAAATCTCTAGATACAACTCGTTCATAATTGGTTGATTTCTTGGTCTATCTCCCTGGTCTTGGGGTTGTATAAGCTGAGATATGTTCATTAAATATTTGGTATTGAGTTAGTTAAGATAGTTTTGTGCGTATGTGGTATAAAGTATTGTTGAAGTTCATGTGTGTCTCTCTCTGTCTGTCTCTCTCCCCTTCTGTCTCTCTCTCTCTCTCTCTCTCTCTCTCTCTCTCTCTCTCTCTCTCTCCCAACCAAAATACCAGGCGGTCCAGGACCTGCCAGGCGTCCAAGAGGGAAGGGTCTCGCTGCCCACTTTGACGAAACTTTTAATTTCGATGAATACCGTGGGATCAAAGCGGCCAACTTTCATAAGCTTGGCATTTTTCCGGCTACGCGGTTAATAGCGGTCGCCCGGATGAAATAGGCGTGGCCGGATAATGGAGGCGAGTCCGGATAAGAAAGACGGCAGGGGAACGGTACATAGAGGATAGACTGGACACAAGGATTATGTGGCTGGAACGATTGGGTAAATATTTCAAACTTTAGGATTTTCTCTGACAGAATAGAATGTTCCCTAGCTCCAGGGACTGTCTACCCTTCACTAGCTCCAGGGACTGTCTACCCTTCACTAGCTCCAGGGACTGTCTACCCTTCACTAGCTCCAGGGACTGTCTACCCTTCACTAGCTCCAGGGACTGTCTACCCTTCACTAGCTCCAGGGACTGTCTACCCTTCACTAGCTCCAGGGACTGTCTACCCTTCACTAGCTCCAGGGACTGTCTACCCGTCACTAGCTCCAGGGACTGTCTACCCGTCACTAGCTACGGTGACTGTCCACCCGTCACTAGCTACGGTGACTGTCCACCCGTCACTAGCTACGGTGACTGTCCACCCGTCACTAGCTACGGTGACTGTCCACCCGTCACTAGCTACGGTGACTGTCCACCCGTCACTAGCTACGGGGACTGTCCACCCGTCACTAGCTACGGGGACTGTCTACCCGTCACTAGCTACGGGGACTGTCTACCCTTCACTAGCTACTGGGACTGTCCACCCGTCACTAGCTACGGTGACTGTCTACCCTTCACTAGCTACGGTGACTGTCTACCCGTCACTAGCTACGGTGACTGTCCACCCGTCACTAGCTACGGTGACTGTCCACCCGTCACTAGCTACGGGGACTGTCCACCCGTCACTAGCTACGGGGACTGTCTACCCTTCACTAGCTACGGTGACTGTCTACCCGTCACTAGCTACGGGGACTGTCTACCCTTCACTAGCTACGGTGACTGTCTACCCTTCACTAGCTACGGTGACTGTCTACCCTTCACTAGCTACTGGGACTGTCCACCCGTCACTAGCTACGGTGACTGTCCACCCGTCACTAGCTACGGGGACTGTCTACCCTTCACTAGCTACGGTGACTGTCTACCCTTCACTAGCTACTGGGACTGTCCACCCGTCACTAGCTACGGTGACTGTCCACCCGTCACTAGCTACGGGGACTGTCTACCCTTCACTAGCTACGGTGACTGTCTACCCTTCACTAGCTACTGGGACTGTCCACCCGTCACTAGCTACGGTGACTGTCCACCCGTCACTAGCTACGGTGACTGTCTACCCGTCACTAGCTACGGTGACTGTCTACCCTTCACTAGCTACGGTGACTGTCTACCCTTCACTAGCTACTGGGACTGTCCACCCGTCACTAGCTACGGTGACTGTCCACCCGTCACTAGCTACGGTGACTGTCTACCCGTCACTAGCTACGGTGACTGTCTACCCTTCACTAGCTACGGTGACTGTCTACCCTTCACTAGCTACTGGGACTGTCCACCCGTCACTAGCTACGGTGACTGTCCACCCGTCACTAGCTACGGTGACTGTCTACCCATCACTAGCTACGGTGACTGTCTACCCTTCACTAGCTACGGGGACTGTCTACCCGTCACTAGCTACGGGGACTGTCTACCCGTCACTAGCTACGGGGACTGTCTACCCGTCACTAGCTACGGGGACTGTCTACCCGTCACTAGCTACGGGGACTGTCTACCCGTCACTAGCTACGGGGACTGTCTACCCTTCACTAGCTACGGTGACTGTCTACCCGTCACTAGCTACGGTGACTGTCTACCCGTCACTAGCTACGGGGACTGTCTACCCGTCACTAGCTACGGGGACTGTCTACCCGTCACTAGCTACGGGGACTGTCTACCCTTCACTAGCTACGGTGACTGTCTACCCGTCACTAGCTACGGGGACTGTCTACCCTTCACTAGCTACGGGGACTGTCTACCCGTCACTAGCTACGGGGACTGTCTACCCTTCACTAGCTACGGGGACTGTCCACCCGTCACTAGCTCCAGGGACAGTGTCCACCCCTCACTAGCTCCAGGGACAGTGTCCACATCAGGGGCATTGAAATACAACCAATTCCCCCTTCTCTTCTCTCCACACCATCTTAAAAATTTTACGAGGCAAGTTTCCTATACTAAACATCTGCCTAAACGTCGAATGGTAAGTTGAGGAGCGAAACACAAGACTTTCCTTCTGAGATAAACATTACTGAAACACATCTCCGTTGTTCATTTGTGTTCGGTAGTGTAGTTCCTCGAGGACCACATAGCTACGGGTCCTAAAGACCGGTAATTAGGCCCAGTTGGTTGTGTTTAATGATAAGATTTGTTTTTTCTCTCAAAGAATTAGTCTCTGAAATCTTCAACTCTTCAATGAGAGTTATGTTGCTAAGTCCCAATATATGGGACTGAAGATTAAACACCTAATGAGCACATCTGTACAATATAGGAAGTGTCGACGTTTCGCTCCATTTCGGGCCATTATGGTGTGTAAGGAAAGACTGGAAGAGGACAGTGTAAGGTTAGAAACTTGTGGTGAATGGCCAGAAAGTAAGAAGACAACCATAGGACTATGATCTTTAGTCCTGGGTCAAATTTTTACCTTCTTGACTACATACTTCGATGATCTAGGGAGCCTGTCGGCCGAGCAGACAGCACGCTGGACTTGTGATCCTGTGGTCCTGGGTTCGATCCCAGGCGCCGGCGAGAAACAATGGGCAGAGTTTCTTTCACCCTATGCCCCCCCCTGTTACCTAGCAGTAAAATAGGTACCTGGGTGTTAGTCAGCTGTCACGGGCTGCTTCCTGGGGGTGGAGGCCTGGTCGAGGACCGGGCCGCGGGGACACTAAAAAGCCCCGAAATCATCTCAAGATAACCTCAAGAGATCTAACTTTGTTAACAAACGTTATTTGAGCTCTTCCTATTCTCTCTCTTTTGTCTCAATTTCATCTCGTTCTCTTCACCATTATGGCTTTTGTAGATTGACCAGACCACATACTAGAAATTGAAGGGACGACGACGTTTCGGTCCGTCCTGGACCATTCTCAAGTCGATTCACAATCGACTTGAGAATGGTCCAGGACGGACCGAAACGTCGTCGTCCCTTCAACTTCTAGTGTGTGGTCTGGTCAACATACATCAGCCACGTTATTGTGACTCATCGCCTGCATATGGCTTTTGTAGTTTTGTTCATTGCTGTTGACTTAAATGGTATATTTCTTACCCTTCCTGTCTTCCCCCTTCACATTCTTTACTGACCTTCTCAACCATTCTTTAAACGTCTTGAGAATAGTTCAGAACGGGCCGAAACATCGCCACTTTATGTTCAGATGTTTGCGTAAGGTGTCTAATGGGAATTATAAATGAAATCACAGTAATCATTTTTCTCTGGTAATATAAGTAGATATTGTTATATATTCTGTGCTTCAAAGAACCAGTCTTACTAGAACAAATCCACAAGGGCCGTGACGAGGATTCGAACCTGCGTCCGGGAGCATCCCAGACACTGCCTTAATCGACTGAGTTAAGACAAGGTAAAGTCGTAGCTCTGTTTTACCCTGTCGTAGCTCAGTAGATTAAGGCAGTGTCTGGGATGCTCCCGGACGCAGGTTCGAATCCTCGTCACGGTCCCTTGTGGATTTGTTCATTTGATGCATCACGTTAGTGTGATCTCTGTGTGTGTCAGTCTTACTAACTTCTTAATATTCAATCTATGTCGCATTTGATGCAACAAGCTAAAGCTAAAATTGATGCAAGAGCAACCAGTCATAGAGGGAATAGAAATCTGGGTAAAGCGCCAAGCCATTACGACTATATATAGCACTGGGAAAGGGATCAGGATAAGGATTTGTGATGGGACGGGGGGAAAGGAATAGTGGCCAACCACTTGTGGGGATCGAACGCCGACCTGCATAAAGCGAGACGCTCGTTCTACCGTCCAGCCCAAGTGGTTGAGTAGTAATGAAGAGTGTCATGTTTTAGGCAGACCTCAAACACCCGATTCTCCAGGACTTAGTGTCTACGGGGGTCTTGGAGGGTCTACGGGTCTACGGGGGTCTTGGAGGCCCTGATGGTGTTCACCCGTTTGGTAGTTGAAGATGACCTGTTCGTCCACTGGGCGCTGAGCCAGCACCCCGTCTACCTCTTCTGTCTCTTCGTCACACACCTAAATATTCACGCCCACACGCCCCCCACACACGCCCACACACACCCACACACCCCTCCAAACACCCAAACACCCCCACACGCCCCCACACACCTCCAAACGCCTCCCACACACGCCCCCACACACACCCACACGCCCCCCATACACCTCCAAACGCCTCCCACATACCCACACACCCCCAAACACCCCCACACGCCCCCACACACACCCACACGCCCCCACACACGCCTCCATACACACCCACACACCCCCAAACGCCTCCCACACACCCACACACCCCCAAACACCCCCACACGCCCCCACACACACCTACACGCCCCCACACACGCCTCCAAACACACCCACACACCCCCAAACGCCTCCCACACACCCACACACCCCCACACGCCCCCCAACACCCCCAAACACCCCACACGCCCCCACACACCCCCACACACCCCCATAACCCCCCAAACACCCCCAAACACTCCCACATCCCTTCACCCACCCCCCCACACGTGTGGGAGCCTGATATCTGAGTGGATAGCGCTCTGGACTCGTAATCCTAGGGTCCGGGGTTCGATCCCGACTGATGGCAGAAACAAAATGGGCAGAGTTTCTTTCATCCTGATGGCCTGTTCAGCTAGCAGTAAAATAGGTACCTGGGTGTTAGTCAGCTGTCACGGGCTGCTTCCTGGGGGTGGAAGCCTGGTCGAGGACCGGGCCGCGGGGACGCTAAGCCCCGAAATCATCTCAAGATAACCACAAGATCCTACGTGTCACGTCCATGGTTACTTTACACTTATAGCAGTCAAGTTTCAAGTTACGGTTTGTATAATAATGAAAATAATTTACAAAGTATACAGAGGTTAATGATTTTTTTTACAGAGTATTTACAATTATATTAAAATTACAAATCCACTAATACGCAAAGCGTGTTATTATACGCTAACACCTTTATGTCTCTAATATCCTTAACACCATAATACCTTAAAGCCTTGGTAAATGCGTAAATATGTAAATAATACCTTTATGTCTCTAATATCCTTAACACCATAATACCTTAAAGCCTTGGTAAATACGTAAATATGTAAATAAATTACACATAGAAATTACAATTGCGTGATGCATCAAATGAACCACTCTACAAGGGCCGTGGCGTAGGTTCGAATCCTCGTCACGGCCCTTGTGGATTTGTTCTTTGCGTAAAAAAATACGTAATACGTAAGGAATATTAGGGACTTTATTTTATAAATTGGTTTAATTATTTAGTTCAATTACTTATAGGTCTGGTAGGGGTTATCTTGAGATGATTTCGGGGCTTTAGTGTCCCCGCGGCCCGGTCCTCGACCAGTCCTCCACCCCCAGGAAGCAGCCCGTGACAGCTGACTAACACCCAGGTACCTATTTACTGCTAGGTAACAGGAAGAAACTCTGCCCATTGTTTCTCGCCGGCGCCCGGGATCGAACCCGGGACTACAGGATCACAGTCCAGCGTGCTGTCCGCTCGGCCGGCCGGCTACCTTACTTACTTATAAGGTCTGGGGTATAAGGGGTTATTAAGGGGTTATTGTTTAATGGTTGAGTTATTGTTTTAATGGTTGAGTTATTGTTTTAATGGTTGAGTTATTGTTTTAATGGTTGAGTTATTGTTTTAATGGTTGAGTTATTGTTTTAATGGTTGAGTTATTGTTTTAATGGTTGAGTTATTGTTTAATGGTTGAGTTATTGTTTTAATGGTTGAGTTATTGTTTTAATGGTTGAGTTATTGTTTTAATGGTTGAGTTATTGTTTAATGGTTGAGTTATTGTTTTAATGGATGAGTTATTGTTTTAATGGTTGAGTTATTGTTTAATGGTTGAGTTATTGTTTTAATGGATGAATTATTGTTTTAATGGATGAGTTATTGTTTAATGGTTGAGTTATTGTTTAATGGTTGAGTTATTGTTTAATGGTTGAGTTATTGTTTTAATGGTTGAGTTATTGTTTAATGGTTGAGTTATTGTTTAATGGTTGAGTTATTGTTTTAATGGATGAATTATATTGAGTAACTAAGGGTGGAATGTCGTTCTGGCTTCTAAAATCCCCAGACACAAACACTGTAGTTGAGATACTCATGGATGGCAATTACCAAGGCTAGGAGAGGGGAAGGGGGAGGTAGTGGGATAGGTAGGAAGAGAGAGAGGGGTAATGGGAGGGGAGGATAGTGGAAGGGGGGTACTAGCCTCACCCACCACCAGCTGGGAAGGCATTTGAACACTACCAGTTAACCAACAGCTTCGGCTCCGCCTCCAGACGTACCACGTGGAGCTCCAGGTTTAAATAAGTTTCCCCGAAATTCAAACCCGAGTTTCAAATCCAGCTTAAACCGAGTTTCTTAACTAATTCAAATTTCAGGCTATTTTGAATTTAGTTTTGACTTCACGCCAGTCGAGCTGGGAACACCTGAATGCTAATCTGTTCACATGAGGAGTGATTGTTTATGTGTTGCCTTTGAACCAGCTGCTTCGAGGCCACGGTGAGTCCCACCCACGTGTATCCACGTGTTTCGACGTGTATCGACGTGTTTCGACGTGTATCCATGTGTTTCGACGTGTTTCGACGTGTTTCGACGTGTATCCATGTGTTTCCACATGTGTCCACGTGTGTCGATGTGTCGTAGTTGGTCACCAAGTACTCAGTTGGTCACGGTGATATAGGCTTAGTAATGGAGGTATGCTACTGTGAATAGGTTTAGTAGCAGAGGTGTCGTACTGTGAAGTCCAGGAGTTGCAGCGTGGCTGGGACACTACTGTTGCCCACGGTGAGGACGAGGTGTACGGTGAGCTTAATGAGTTACATATCAACTCAACGACTGAGCTTTCCCCCCCGAACAGCGACCCACAACAG